CCAGAATGATGTATGGCCCGCCAAAAGACTTCACAAGCCTTTGGTATCCACTGAGCCCATATCCTCGGGATATGCAGTGCTTCCACCCAGCTCTCAGGATTCACGCCAAACCCCTCTCTAAACCTTGGGCACTATCAGTCCAGCAGCACATCTCAAACACCGTCGGGTGATCGTCTCAATCGCAGTCGCAACATCAACATCAGGAACAAGAAACTTTCCAGCTTGACGTGACTTCCCTATTCACCAAAGTACCTACTACACAAGCCACGATCTCTGCGCATGAAAAGTTGACGATTCAATTGATGCTTTCCCCATTCCAGCCGCGATTTCATTTCATCGCCCTTGTTGAACTATGTGTTGCTTTTACGTGTTTCTCCTTCGAAAATCACCTCTTTCAGCAGACTTTATGGACTACCCAAGGGTTTCCGCCACTCAGTGCAAGTACGGCGAACTTACACATGGAACATCTAAAAGCCGAACGTATCCTTTCTTCCACCATATTCCCTGTTCGTCTGTCACCTGGCTCCGTTATGTATGACGACATTCTCCTCATAACTCCTAAACGCTTCAACGTTCAAGCTCACCAAGACAAGCTCTAACCAGGACCGAGCCTTCAATCCAGATCACACTTGAAGAAGAAGGTCGACAACACTCTTCCTTTCCTTGAGTCTGCTCTGCAAAGCTGAACCACGAAACTCGTTTTAAAGTCTAATCGAAAACCCATCCAACCAAAAACGATCTTGCTCCACTTCTACTCTCACCACGACAACCAAACCAAACGTGGTGTGATTATAGCTTCCTTTCTTCCTACGACACTCAGAATCTGGCAGCAATGAGTTCCTTGAGGAAGAAGTCACTATAATTGATCAGTATTTTCCAAACTCCACTATCCTAGTCAATCAACAGAGGACAGCAATACGGCAGGCATTAAACATTCCTTCAACACAACCAGAGTAAAGAAACTGCCGAGAAGTGATACAAGAGTCCTCCCCAACAACTCCATTGCGCAAACATGGTTTCCAACAACTTTGCCAAAACATCATTCCAAGTAAAATTCTACCCCACAACACACACCATCAAGGACATCATAGAAGACAGGACAAGCCTCCATCCTCTTGCAGTGTATACATAATCCCTTGTAATGACGCAACAAAGATTAATGTGGGCGAAACATCCAAGAGACCTCCAAACAAGCATTTCAGAACACCAATATGCCAAGCAGGACTGACAAACAAGGAATGCCTGTGTAACAGCATCGCAATTCACACACCATTTAATTAACTACAGAAACTCCAAACTTAATAGCCACAGAAGCCATCACCCTCAATACAGAAGAATCCTGGAAATCATTACTTTAATCTCTAACAACCAACAATTTAAGCCAGAACAATGCATCTATAACATCGCTGAACCACTCGAGCCAAGAAACTTCTTCATCGCTATCTCCCACATAAGAAATAGAACACTGCAGAAGGACTACACTTTGTCCAATACCCCTGCAAGCTACCCAAGACTCTATAACCCCACCCGGTAGATCATCAGATGCAGCATTCTTCACCTGACCTCAACATTCTGACTATAAATACTCTCGTACCTTCCAACCCCAGGTAGATCCGTGTGTGACTTGAGAAAGCCCACTGTGTGGGTGAAACGTTGTCAATAAAGGATCACATTATACTGCATTTGTGTTTATATTTCCATGATGTGAAACTAATGAGAAGAATACAAACAGGAGTAGATCAAGAAAGATTACAAATGGATCTAGGCAAGCTGCATGATTGGTGTGACTAGTGGCTGTTGGAATTTAGTCCCAGAAAATGCAAAGTTACGAAAATCTGAGAAGGGCAAAGACGTCAGGACACAGTGTACAGGTAAGGGGACAAAGACTAAAACTTTCTGGATGAGAAGGATCTTGGGGTGAGCATAGTTCCGAGAATCTCGCCTGAGGCAAATATAAGGGTAACTTTCAGGAAAATCAACAAGGATGCAATCACGACCATACATAATGGCACCTTGTCAGGTACTGTACTGTAGTAGGTTCGCCGGTCTTGTCCCGGCCCGGGTCTTTTCCAGATTGTGACCCGGCGCCCTTGTCAGACCCATCTTGGAGTGTGCAGGGCCAGTATGGAACCCGCATCTGGTAAAGCATGAAAAGACTTTGTAAAAAGTGCAAAGGTTTCCAGTGAAACTTGTCCCAGGCCTGAGAGATGTGTGCTGCGAGGAGAAGCTAGAAGAGCTAAACCTGACGACACTAGAGTACAGATGAACCTGAGGTGACATGATTATTACGATGTACGAAACAGTGAGACAAACTGCCAGGGTGGACAAGGAATGATTGAGAGGCAGGTCTCTGGTACACGAGTCAAAGCTGGAAGTTTAAATGCACCAGAAGAGCCATAATGGATGTTAGGAAATACATCTATTCTTTCGGACCTTTAGAGTGGTCATGAGAGTGGAATGACCTCGACGCAGTGAAGTAGTGGAGCAAAATCCAAACAGAACAACTTTAAGGAGTAATATATAAGGGCTCACGCAGAGTTCAAAAGTGAAAACCAGTAGCGGCCATCAAAGAGACGGGACCAGGAGCTGAGACCAACAATTAGCGGTTAGTGCCACGGGCGTGTGCACACACACATACCAGGGGTCATGGAGCCGTGAATTGACCCCTGCAGACCACAATTATGTAAGAATGTACACACAACATTAAGCGACCAAAGAATAAACGGGGCCTTAAGCAGTAAAATTGACCCTGAAACCACAAATAGGCGAGTATACACAGCACACACTAGCTGTGAATTGACTCCTAAACCGCATGGTAAGTACAACACACACACACACACCCACACACACACACACACACACACACACGACGACACACACACACCACACACACACACACACACACACACACACAACTCACCCAACCGAGCACATCAGAGCGCACGTCAACCATATAATATTAATGTATCTTTCTTCTTCTACAAGTACATTGTACATATACAACATTCCCCAAATAAAAAGCACACTGAGAGTCAACGTACAATAAGTGTCCATGGGCCCCAGTACTGTTCAGTGTCCTCCCCGCCATACAAAAGGGGGATAACCAAAGGACCCCCTGGCTGTATTCATGAATCACTGGACAGGCACTAAAGTCAGTACCTGACCAATCTGGGCTGTTGGTTTTACGACAATTTGCGAGCGGGCCAAGCAGTACAGCCTGGTAGATAAGACCCTGATCCACCATGAGAGGTGGCCTGGTCCTCAGGCCTAAGCCGTCGGAGGCGTTTAATCCCTGACAACCCTCTTCCATGTAAACTCCAGGTAGTATACAAACCCTAGCTAACATCAATGACATACATACTACTAGTATATAGAAAGCCCTTGTTATGCTGAAAGCATTTCGGGCAAATTAGGTCAGTTATGTCCCAGGATGCGACCCCACAAGAAACCAGTCAACCACAGGCTCAGGTTCCTATTTTAATTCTGATGGGTGGAACAGGGACGAGCAGGTTTCTTATGGAAACCAAGACCCTAATGTTTTCCCCAGCCATACGGAGTTTTCGAGCTCCGGATCATCATTGTGTGAGCTGGGTGCTCATAGCTAACATGTTGCATGCAATGGGAGCCAGCAAACCTAAGAATATCATCCTATACCTCAGTAAGGAACCATTGAGACACTGTACACAAATGTACAACAAGGCCCATACTGGAGTATGCAGCACCATTTTTCGAGCCCACACTTGGCAAGCACGTAAGAAATTAAAGAAAACGCAAAGGTTATTGCACAAGACTAGTCCCAAGCTAAGAAGGGGTATATCTTAACGAGGAGAGGTTAAAGGGAAATCGAACCTGATGACACTGGAGTGACAGGAGGGTGAGAGGGAGGAGGACATAAGACAAAAAATGACTGAGGGAATTGACAAGAGGTGACAGACAGGATGTTCCAGAATGGGACAACAGCCAACAAGATGACACAGTTTTGAAAGGGACTAGGACGAGTCACAGGGATTTTATGAAGTATTTTTTCAGTCAGAGTTTTGTACAGGAAGTGGAATAGTCCTGGATAGTGATATAGTTGAGGCAGATCCATACATAGCTTTAGGAAGAGGTAGATTAAGGCTCATGAACAGAGAGTGGATCTAGTAGTGATGACCAGTGAAGAGGCAGGTTCAGGATTCTTGAATCGACCCCTGCAAAACCACAATTAGGCAAGTACACACAGATGCCCTAATTTAACATTACAATCTAGGGGTATCAATAGCCAATTCCAGAGGCGTTTGCTAAGAGTTGTTGGTCACCCAGGGCGGAATCCTATGATGTCACCCCATATAATTTCAGGGCAGGGGGGAATGGGCGGTAAAACTCCATTTACATTTCATACTGTATGCCCCAGTGATTGTTTATCCAATAGAATGTTTTAAGGGCCATAAACAAAACAAGGAGAAATACTTCTTGACTTATTAATGATAAATAATCATAATAATATTGAGGAAATAAACTCAAATACCACTATAAGTATAGGCAATCAGATCCTACATTAATTCATCTTTCAATACAAGGCAAAAAACAAAAAAAAAAACCTTAAAAAATAAAAGAAAAGCATTGGGCAATAACAAGAGAAACACTAGTTCCGATCTGACTTGAGTACAGGGTAACATCTCAGTGAATCTGAATTTACATTTCCTTGCCTTCATTCCTGCAACATCACCTATCTCATCATCAAAATCAACGATTTTCCCTATATAGGCTTATTTTTACTTTGTTAATATATAATAGGCTATATAGAAACGAAGGACTCTTCTGTTATGTTGGTGCAGCACTGTTTTGGGCATTAGTGTCACCTTTAGAGGCTCTATAGTGTCACCCCCTAAAAAATGGGTGTCACCCCGGTGTGCCCCCCTCCCCCTTACGGCTGGCGCCACTCCACTTGGCCAATTCACTTTATTTTCAATTTTGTACGATGTAAAACTTAAACTACAGCTGTACATTTGTGTTTGCAGGGAGTTGGAAGAGAGTTTCTTCCCAGCTTCAAGAATCCTTGTTGGTATGAAGAAAGAAAAAATAACCATGAACTGGGGAAGGTTGCAGCTTATTATATTTCCACAACCAAACCATTACTACTCTCAAAGTGAGTAAAGCTAAAAGTTGTGCATCTCTTCACTTACAAATTGATAATTAAAACACATGAGTATTTGGCAAGTCACAGGATTGGCACATTTAATATAACGATTCCAATTTGATTTCATACTCTCCAGCGCCTTCCTTTAAACCATTTACTTTCGTTTCATTTTTTTTTTTTACCCTTTTCAGAATGAACTATCTAATACCATTTTCTTGTATGTTTCACAATTTTTAATGAAACTGATTTGTATATTCCAATCACATGTGATACTTCATTCCATTTTCTTTCCTATTAAGTAATGTCACCTTTTGCTTTATAATGTGGTTAATCCCCCATCGTTTGTCTGTTTGTCACACTTTGCAACATAAAAGTATACATGTTATTTCCATTTGACCATGATCACCGTTTCTATGTGAGTTTCGGTAATTTATATTTTGAATGTTTTTTCTAGTAAATACTAATGGTGGTGCTGACTGCATTTTATCTTCTCTCACTTTAGTAAATTTTGTGATGAATCTTGAAAAACTTGGTATAAGTATATTCATCACTTTCCTTTAGGTTTTTTTGTGTTTTTACACATCAATTTTATACCTGGAGTTTACCTGGAGCTTTGTATATAAATTGAGATAATGCAAGTACTGTATTGTACTATATGTATACAGAGCATGTTATAGGAGTGAATAGAGACCAATGGTTTTTGGGACCTGACGAGCTGTTTGAGTGTGAGCAGGGTAATATTTTGTGAAGGGATTCAGGGAAACCAGTTAGCCGGACTTAGAGTCCTGGAAATGGGAAGTACAATGCCTGCACATTAGAGGGGTTTGGGATATTGGCAGTTTGGAGGGAGATCTAAACTGTCGTATCTGAGCGCCTCTGCAAAGACAGTGATTATGTATGAGTGGTGATGAAAGTGTTGAATGATGAAAGTTTTTTCTTTTTGGGCTTTTCTTTCTTTTTAGATCACCCTGCCTCGGTGGGAAGCGGCTGACGTGTTAAAAAAAATAGTGGTACCTTGACTTACGAGTGCCCTAACTAACGAGTTTTCCGAGTTATGAGCCGTCGCTTTGAGTTGCAAGCCAAAATCAGAGATACAAGCGAGCTTCAGATACGCCGCCACTAATTGGCAGCATATCTGAAGTCAAATACAGCTATGGACCCAGAGGAATGTCGGGTACTTCCTCCCATCCCACATGCTCTTCCAAGACATAACTGGAAGGATAATACTCCCACACTAATCCGAGATTGTAGTGAGGGACCTTGTCCCTTGTTTGGTTCTCTTATAAATCCCAGGAAGAGGTAACCTCCATGTCAACACTCCAAGTTTTTCCAGAAACATTAAGGTGGGTGGAGTAGTGATGGTGGGTGGAGTAGTGGTGGTGGTGGGTGGAGTAGTGGTGGTGGGTGGAGTAGTGGTGGTGGTGGGTGGAGTAGTGATGGTGGTGGGTGGAGTAGTGGTGGTGGTGGGTGGAGTAGTGGTGGTGGGTGGAGTAGTGGTGGTGGTGGGTGGAGTAGTGGTGGTAGTGGTGGGTGGAGTAGTGGTGGTGGTGGTGGGTGGAGTAGTGGTGGTGGTGGGTGGGTGGAGTAGTGATAATGGTGGGTGTAGTAGAGATGATGGTGGGTGGAGTAGTGAAGGTAGTAGGTGTAGTGGAGATGGTGGTAGGTGGACTAGTGAAGGTGGTGGGTGGAGTATACAATATTTCTTATTTATAAATACATTTTTCTTATTTAAAAACCTGTAAGAAAAAAAACGGGTGGTTTTTTGGGGATGAAACAGTTTAATGACATTTCAGTTAATTTCAATGAGGAAAATTGATTTGATATAGTACAAGCAAATTGAGTTACAAGCTCGGTCACAGATCGAATTAAACTCATAAGTCAGGTACCACGTTAGTTACCATTTTGTCCTGGGCACATGTCGATTAGACACTAGGCCTGTTGTGTGTGTGTGTAGGTGTGTGTGTGTGTGTTGTGTGTGTTGTGTGTGTTGTGTGTGTTGTGTGTGTGTGTGTGTGTGTGTGTGTGTGTGTGTATGTGTGTGTGTGTGTGTCAGTATACACAGCAGACAGCCTCGTCAATGGTGTGTGTGTCAGCATACACAGCAGACAGCCTCGTCAATGTTATGGGTGTGGCCTACTTAAGTCTACTGGCTGAGCCTTAATTAACACGATATTAACTGAAAGTAGAATCTGACTACCTCAGAGTGTAATAACCATATCAAAACCACCTCAACTAAATACCCAGTTTGGTAAGAGTCGTCAACGACTTGATGAGGCTGCCAAGTACCATCATTCAAGCCAGTATTTTGGTTTGGTATAAACCTTGGTAATAAATACCGACAAACTGGTTTAGAAAGACACGCGAGCAAACACCAGGACATTAGAAAACGTCTCGGTCCTGGGACTTAGGTCCCACGACCGAAACGTTCTCCAATAAATATATCCTGGTGTTTGCTCACGCCTCCCTCTAAACCAGTATTTTGGTTACCTTTAAGAAACAGGTTGGACTGGTACACGTGTGGGAGTCGTTGGGTGTGAATAGCACCTGTTTAGCACGAGCCAACAGGCCTATTTCAGTGTTTCTTTATTGTTATGACAGGTTTGGTACTCGTAGGAGACGAGGATAGTATCTGACTACTTGCTAGTCTAACACTCTGCTAATCAGTGTGAATATAATTATGGCATACAATATCAACAAGTACATAAGACATGTGCTACAGTTAGGTATCGTTACTCTGATTACACCTACACAGCAGACGTCTTCAGTAGAATACAGAGATAGCAATGTGTTAATACAATCATAACTAAGCAGTAAACCCACTAGGGTCATACAGACACAGCAGACAATTGTGGAAAACGGTATAAAATACCATTCAGTCCCTCAGCCTAGAGGCTGAGGGACTGACCACCTCATTTTCATTTCATTAGTGTTGCTGCCCCCTTTGTATTTGACTGAAGAAGCCTACTGTGTAGGCGAAACATTTCCTCAATAAAGATACCAACTGTTGCTACAAGCTATTTACTTCGCCAAGGGCAACTTATGGTGGCTCGGTATCGAGGGGACTTGTTAATTAAGAGGTGCGTGTGTGGTAGGTCAGGTTACAGGAGTACCACAGGGGTTGGTGCTCACCCCAGCAAAATACAATCATGGAAAAGAGCAACTACCTGGATGAAAAGCCTTCCTCTGATATACCTGCCGCTGATTTCCAGGGGGGTTCCTGTATCCCCGCTGCAACGGCCTGAAGCCTGGCAGGCTTGACAAAGTTCCAGGAGAGCGAAACATTCCTACGATAAAATGTCATTTTATCGTATTAGTTGCACCTGTGTCCTACCTAACAGTGTCGGTAATTCTACCAACATACGAGGCCTGGTCTCAGACCGGGCCGAGGGGGCGTTGACCCCAGAATAACTTCTCAGTTTACTCCTGGGTATACAACAATTTACACTTCTGGCAAGACTATTTGTGTTTCATGTGAACATAATGGCGGCTTAAATCTCTGATCTACTTACAATCCGGTATAATATCATCTGACTTTTCACACAGGAATGAATATCTGCCTGGATGGTACAGACCTGGCTGTAATTAACGGCGGTGGTTATCGACGCTTCCACTCCTTGCTCTGGATGACTACTCACTGGTTTAACGCTTCATGCCCAAATAAATTTAGATTTCTTGCAGTTCACATCTCTGTGCATATGTGAACGTTAAGAACGTGAGAAGTCAGGGACTGTTAACCAAGAGATATGGTCGGGGTCTGGACCAGGCCGCGGGTGCGACCATCTTCTGAACTGGTTATAGTACAGACCCTGTAACACTGTTAGGTATGTAATGTAAGGACACCAAGTGCAAACCAAGGTTTATGACACCTCACCGTATGTATGTACGTAGGTATGTACTCACCTAATGTAACTCACCTATTGTGTTGCAGGGGTCGAGACTCAGCTCCTGGCCCGCTCTCTCACTGATCGCTACTGGATCACTCTCTCTCTCTGCTTCCTGAGCTTTGTCATACTCTTCTTAAACTATGTTTATGGTTCTGCTTCACTACTTCACTTGCGTAGGCTAGGCCACGTGCTGACAACTCTGAATGAATATACTTCCCTAACCGTTGCCATGTAAGTGTATGCATTGCATGTATGTATGCATGTATGTATGCATGTTTTGTATACATGTATGTATGCTTGCAGTATGTATGCAATGTAATGTATACGTGTTTGTATGATGCATTATGTATGCATGTAGTAGTGCATGCATGTATGTATGCATGTATGTTTTGCATGTATGTATACATGTATGTATGCTGGTATAGTATGCATGTATCGGATGGCATGTTTTGTATGCATGCATGTATGCTGGCATGTATGCATGCATGTATGGTATGCATGTTGTATGCATGTATATTTGTGTGTGTATATATATATACCAGTGGTCCCCCGCTTAACGATACACCTCAAATGCGACCGATTATGTAAGTGTATTTAGTGTCAAGTGGCGTGTGTACGTGGATTGTTTAGGGCGTATGAATTGCGCTCTTCACGCTAGATTCACAGTGTATTCCGTATGGGGAAAATTCGGTAGTACTGGCACCTGAACATACTACTGGACATGAAAAAAGTTCGTTAGCGCGGGAGGTCCATCACGGCTATACTATTTTATATTATATATACTTACTATATATATATATATTATATATATATATATATTTATATTTATATATTTATATTATTTTCGCTACAAGGCGGCCATCTCCCTCCGAGGCAGGGTGACCCAAAAAAGAAAGAAAATCCCCTAAAAAGAAAATTACTTTCATTCTTCATTCAACACTTTCAACACACTCGCCTCATTATCACTGTTTTGCGAGGTGCTCAGAATACAACGTTTAGAAGCATACACGTATAAAGGATTTTTTAGATTTAAAAAGATACACAAACTTATCCCTCCAAAACTGCCAATATCCCAACCCCTCCTTTAAAGTGCAGGCTATTGTACTTCATTTCCAGGACTCGAGT